CATGAAACAAAATCTTTTTTGGAGGAGCTCTACTACCTGGAATCCCTTTTTGAATGCTCGTACAGTGATATTGAATCCTGTATGTATCAAATAAGTATAGAAAACCAGTCTTAAGAATGGAAAGGATATAGACTTACAGTTGTGATATGGGAGAATCTGCCCAAAATCTCTCCTGATCTCCTCTTCAGGATCTGTTGGTCAGGTCCTTCTAGCTGGCAGGTGAGAGGTGAGTGGCTGGAAAGGGGCTAAGCTGAATAGCTGGTTCCCTCCAATAGTCAATGTTGAGCTGGTCTAGAACATGTCTGCGATTGGTGAAGCAGCCCACGTACTCGGCTGGCCATTGAGGATTGGCCTAGGAAGAATTCTAGGGCATTAAGGCCCACTGTATGAGGAATAGAGGTATGAAGGGAACTTACATCTAAAGACACCCAACTGTACCCAAGAAGATGTTAAAAATCCAATTTCAGAAAGGAATTCTGATCTGCTAGATCATAGAGGGTTTGTAACACATCTCCATCTTTATCATCGAAGATATGAGTCACAAACTCTAGTTCGGAGAAAAAACTGGGGGTGTCGCAGCAGAGGGTGTTTTTGTAGGGATATTAGAATAGTGTCTTCTGAGGGTCAATAACCTGATGAATTTGTTGAGATCCTTGAAGAGAGTGAAGGGATCTGGTTTAGCATAAGGGGCAAAATTTAAGCCTTTCTTCAAGAGTGACGTTTCACTGGGGGTAAGAATGTGTTTTGACAGATTAAAAATCTGTCAATCAGTTCATCACATGCTCACACGATGACGTGGTATATGGGCTCACCTGTCCCTGTGGTCTGATATATGTGGGCCGGACCATACGTGCATTGCGAGCCAGAGTAGGGGATCACAGATGGCTCATTGAGAAGGGAGACCTGGAGCACAGCGTCCCGAGGCATTTTACAGCTAAACACCAAAAAAGAACTCAGGACCTAAAGGTGTTTGCGATTGAGCACATCTCCACTCAAATACCGCCATCTGAAAGATTCCGCTGATTATGCAGTAGAGAGACTTTTTGGATCTACAAGTTAAACACTCTGGCCCCGGTGGGGCTGAATGAAGAACTTGAGATCCACACGATTCTATAGTCCAGCACACACCCACTTAACCATTAGTGGACCTGATATCCGCTTCACCATTACATTATTATACAATTATATCAACTTTCATCCCTTGCCCCCCCCTCCTTTTTTCCTTCCTTCCCCCTTCTCTTTGTGTTAGGTGACATTAGAGAGTTTTTTTATTTTGTAGAGGTACTAGCACAGAGGTGCGTTTTTGTGGTATTGTGGTCCTATACGTACATGTGGTCCCCACTAGTGGCACACGGTTTGAGGACATACACACAGGGGTTGGGGTACACCTGTGGCTCTCCACCCGTGGTAACATCAGTGCAGATATGCATTTTACAGCTAAACACCAAAAAAGAACTCAGGACCTAAAGGTGTTTGCGATTGAGCACATCTCCACTCAAATACCGCCATCTGAAAGATTCCGCTGATTATGCAGTAGAGAGACTTTTTGGATCTACAAGTTAAACACTCTGGCCCCGGTGGGGCTGAATGAAGAACTTGAGATCCACACGATTCTATAGTCCAGCACACACCCACGTAACCATTAGTGGACCTGATATCCGCTTCACCATTACATTATTATACAATTATATCAACTTTCATCCCTTGCCCCCCCCTCCTTTTTTTTTTCCTTCCTTCCTTCCTTCTTCTTTTTGTGTTAGGTGACAATAGAGAGTTTTTTATTTTTTATTTTGTAGAGGTACTAGCACAGAGGTGCGTTTTTGTGGTATTGTGGTCCAATACGTACATGTGGTTCCCACAAGTGGACATACACACAGGGGTTGGGGTACACCTGTGGCTCCCCACCCGTGGTAACATCAGTGCAGATACAGGCCCGAGCACCAACAATTAATAGTGTTTTCATTTTTCATTTTTGAATTTTTATTTTTTATTTTTTATTCTTATTTTCATATGAATGGAAATTGTTTTTAACTTTTGTTTTAGAGGTTTCTTATGTATGTAAAATACACGTCCCCATTATGCATCCCTTATTTAATTGGGGTCATTTTAATTTTTTGTCATCAAGTACCCTTATTAAAATGTTTTTAAAATATGGATTTTTAACTTACAACTACTTGAACTTTCCTGGTCAAGGAAAAGATGTTAAGCTTTTTAGATAGACCACAACATCCCCATAGACATTCTCCTGTTAATACTGTTCATCCGACAAAAAGATATAACCTGTCTCATGACAAAACGTGTTGTATTAGCCTGATGGACGGAATTCTCCAATAATTGGACGAGGCTACGATATAAGTTCCTCCCCTCCTTCGAGTAACAACCTATCACAAGGCGAATCCATTACCCACTCCTCCCCCTTGTCAGTTTTTAAAACAGACCGGTTTCCCGCGATCTGCTTGATCTTGTGGCTTGACAAAGAGTAATCTCCTCGAAACGCGTAGCCGTCTACCCACTGTGCACTTCTATCCCCCGTTTAGTCCTCCGCGACTTTCGTTGTCGGCGAGACCACCGGACACCCCGAGACAGCAGCCTGACTGCATTGCCAATACATACGGCACCAGGCGCTTCAGCGCTGTTCGCGGCTCCTCGCTCTCTCCCTCACACTCTCCCTATCCCAGCCGCCGCGGCCCGGCCTGGCCAGCCGAGTACGTGGGCTGCTTCACCATCGCAGACATGTTCTAGACCAGCTCAACATTGACTATTGGAGAGAACCAGCTATTCAGCTTAGCCCCTTTCCAGCCACTCACCTCTCACCTGCCAGCTAGAAGGACCTGACCAACAGATCCTGAAGAGGAGATCAGGAGAGATTTTGGGCAGATTCTCCCATATCCCAACTGTAAGTCTATATCCTTTCCATTCTTAAGACTGGTTTTCTATACTTATTTGATACATACAGGATTCAATATCACTGTACGAGCGTTGTTTAAAAAGGGATTCCAGGTAGTAGCGCTCCTCCAAAAAAGATTTCGTTTATCACGGGAGTGATCTTGGAGTGGTGACTACTTTACAACACACACAGGGACCATGGGGAACAAAAGTAGCCACCCTCCAAGGGTAGCTTGGAAGGAAGGAGAAGGAAGAACAGTGTCAGTACCAATTCAGAGATGCTTTGGGGATCTACAGCTGAGTGATACAAAATTAGATACATTTTTGTTAATAGTTATGGTACTTGAATGGATTTTTAAGATATAACTCCTGAGTTTAGTGTCATTTGAACATCCTGCGCGGTTCTACCTTTTCTAGTAATAGAGGATTAGATTCTGGGGGGAGTGCGATTCCACCTGGGGTTTATATTGGTACAAGACACAGGGTGAATATTGAGGATTGTAAATGGATACTATTGAATGAGTTTTTGATCACAAGGTGTTGGATTGACGCAGTTTATATGGATTTTTAATTTGAGGTGTTATTGATTGCCATGATTGCATTCTGGGATAGGAGCGATGCTATACATATTTCCTATTGCTGATATCTTATTCAGACATTTAAGCAGCAGCATAGGTTCAGTACATGAAAGGCCTACTCTGAAAATAAATTGCAGCATATACTGCTTAAAACTTGGATATATCTTTCAGCATTGATGGTGCCTTTCCATTTGTGCAAGCTTCCCATTCCATACACATTAATGCACCCCCATACCATCAGAGATGCTTGCTTTTGAACTTTGTTGATAACAAGCTGAAAGTTCCCTCTTCTCTTTAGTCTGGAGGATGTGGCGTCCATTGTTGTCAAAAATAATGCCAAATTTATAATTCGTCTGCCCACAGACAGTTTTCCACTTTGCAACAGACCATTTTAAATGAGCTTTGGCCCAGAGATTCATGTTGAGGTAAATTATTCTGAAATTGTTCAACAATTTTTAGATGCAGCTTTTCACAGATTGGTGAACCTCTGCCCATCTTTAATTCTTAGACACTCTGACTCTCTAAGATGCTCTTTTTATACCCAATCATGTTACTGACCTGTTGCCAGTTAACCTTATTAGTTGCACATTTTCTTCCAGCTCTTCCTTGTTAGTACCACTTTCTTTGCAACTTTTTGTTTCCCTGCCCCAACGTTTCTGAGACTAGTTGCTGCCATCAATTTCAAAATGACCTTATTTTTTTCTGAAAATTGTACATGTTCTCATTTTAAACATTTGATATGTTTTCTATTTTCTGTTGTGAATAAAACATGGGTTTATAAGATCTGCAAATCATTGTATTCTGGTTTTATGTAGAGTTTACAAGGCGTCCCAACTTTTTTAGAATTTGAGTTGTATTTGGGTTTACATACACTTTAAGTAATATTAGTTTGCCTTTATTATTCACCCTGATTAAAGTTATTTTTTTTAACTCCAGGCTCACTGTTATAGTCTAGTTCTGTGAGGTCCCTTCCTTCTCTATCAGTGTAATTAAAGTCTAGGCATTGAAATAAGTAAAAAGGTCAAAAGAGAACGAGCTGTGAGAGCTGGAGACATGGGTTGGAAAGCAAAATCTTCCTAATTTTGCTAAGAATTGCAACAATGAATTTACAACTGACTGTTCACTAATGGACAAACAAAACGTATGCACATGTAAGATAAACAATACTGTAAACGCAATTTTACAGTTTTTATGTATACAGCTGCATTGTGACAAAGTTAATGTCCAAAATTCCTTAGATACAAATCAGATTGTAATGGCGTACATACTGCTGAAATATTACAATCTTCCCTTCATATTCAGTACAATGGCATTTTTATTTTGTGTGCTTTTACTGACTTTATTCTGTTCTGTTACTATGCAAACGATGTGGTTACCATGGAAACATAGTGACATTTAAATATTATTTTACCTGAAAGTTATTTTATTTCAAACATGCTATTTTCTATACCTGACAAAGGCCTAAGTAAATTATAGCCTTTCCTCTTGTAGGCTTTTATAGCATTGAAAGATGGCTTTTTTTTTTTTTTTTTTTAGGAGCTGGAGGAAGAGGGTACTTCTCAGAAAAAGCAGACTCGCCATCGGAAAACCCTGGCAACTAAGCGAAAAATTGCACGTAAGTATTTTGGGAAATGGTGTGAGATGGAAACAGGTTTTTGTGTTAACTATTGTAATTTTTCAGCAGTTAGGGTGACCCAAAAACATTAGACTTTTTCATCAATTCAGTTGCAAGGGTTGAAGAGGGACACAAACATTTTTGTGTAGTGTTGCACTTTTTACATGGATATGTGGCCTGTCAGTCATGAGATTAGTAGTAGCCTGTGAGAATTCTGATATGAATAATGTGTGAATGAAATATTACCCTGTACATATGCAGAACTGCTCAAGTAGCTTCTTATAGGAAGCTACTTCATGCCAAATGGTGTGGTTCTGCCTAAAGACTATTTTATTGCTCCATTAGGACAGCTCGGAAGGCTTTGGGCATCTTTCAGCTCCCCACTGCAGCCTTACTTTCAGTTTTGCACAGTTGTACAGGCTCCAACTGCAGGAAGACAGATCGAGGTCACCAGACTGGGGGACATTCAACATCATCTAGCTCCTTCCTGATCAACCTGAATGTTTCTGTACTGCCCCTTTCATTCATTGGATTTTAGTTTGGACTTGTAATCACGTAAGCTGAGCATCGCATGTGGGCCTTGCCTAGGGTGGACTTCATGCAAATGAATTCTCCCTTGGAATGCCAAATTCCTCCAGACTGACATTTTGATATTTGCCTAGCTCTATCCAAGAACCAGCTCATTGCTTGCATGGGGGCTCTTGAGAAAAGTACTGAGACAGGGTGGTGTAATGTTTCCAGTAAGCAATGTACAGCACCCTGCTGGTCCCATAATCTGCCTGTGTTGCATAGAGAAGCACAAACGCCCAATGATATAACTGGGCCTAAAATAAGATCTGTAAGGAAAACAGGAAGGTTTTATTCCAAATTTAGTTGCATGTTGTTGGAAAAACCATAAAGAGATAATGGAATGATTTTCTAGCACTCACCAGGTCAGCACAGTAGAGGCCTGAGCGATTATATTCCATGGTGTTTGAGGAAAGTTTGTATCCATTGTTACATCCTTTGGCGGCTCTATAGGCGGTTTGACCTTTGGAATAACCTTTCCATTACCTTTTTTTAATGTATGTATAAACTTGTATACCAAAGGACATACAATTCCTGGAAGTACAACATTTGAACATGTACCTGTAGTCACTGCCATACACATGATTACCCAATGAAAGTATATGTTATGTCACTGACGAATGCGATTTTACCCTGTAATAAATGTTGCACGTCCTTATGTGTACTCAGAACTGGCTTCATCTGTTGATCCTTTGACACATGGCACTTGTAAACAAGTTTATCCAGTATTTTTTCTGTTTGTAGTTACTTTACTTTACATGGATGGCTCTTTGACATTAACCTTTTGTTCTGTTTTGAGAGCATCCCTTTATGTACAAATACCTGTTCATCCTAAAATACGTATATATGATTTAATTGCATAAACAGTAAGCATACATTTCAGCTGTCTTTTATTTCAGAGAAATTAATATATTTTGCTTTCAGATACAAACAAAATGTATTATGGCTGTTTTGTTTAATTGAACATCTGTTTGTAAAAGCACATTTTCTAGTAGGTGCTCACAGGGAAGTTACTCGCATCACAGTTTATTGATCCAACGTTTGCCATTTTATTCCAGGTATGACTGAGGAGGAACAGCTGGCCCTTGCAGTAAAAATTAGCCAGCAAGAACAGGCAAATCATGTGAAACACAGAGAAGAAGAAGATGAACTTTTAAGAAAAGCCATTGAGGAGAGTCTGCATGTAAATATACAGAATCATTGTTCTGAGAGTTTGTAATGGTTAAAACATCTGCACTGATCCCTCATTCTGTATTAAAAGTTAGAGGAGAACTATGGGGCAACCTTTTTTGCCCATAGTTCTCCTCAGGATCACGGGAGGACATTTACCGTGTCATTTACCGTGTCTTCCCATGACTCAAAACTCAGCATATAGCAGGCAATACTGTCGAGATCCACCCAGCTGGCTGATTGACAGCTGACCCGCCCCCTTCCCCGTCTGTCCCTCCAGTCAGCGCTGGAGGAGGGGAGGGGGGAATTCCTGCGGTGACTGACATCGGAAAGTGAGCGGATCACCTTCCGATCAATAGAGCCGACGTGTGACCATTTCAATGTCACACGTTGGCTCTAACTATGGAGATGAGTGTAATTCACTCATCCCATAGTTCTCCTTTTAATAATGCTAATCACCACCAAAATGAATGTTCATTCCTTAGTTCCCTTACCTTAATGTAGTTTCCTTGAAGGTTGCCAAAGAGCATTTATCAGCATTGAGGTCACCTTCGTGGAATGTCTAAGTTACCTGTATATGTTTGGTATTTTAACATTCTGCTTTTAAATTAGTACCTTGGGCAGTGCTAAGAAAAATTATTTGTCCAAAAGCTGATGAAGAACATACTGCTTGTTTTTCTAGGGGATGATTTAACAGAGAGTATTACTCACCTTACCCCGCAGTCTCACGAAAGTGGAGTCTTCTCTCCAGAACCAGATTATGGGCAGGCACTCCTATATCTTCACATACAATTTGGGGGCCGCTTGTCCTGCATTGTATGTGATGACATTAGCAAGAAGGTCAGTCACAAGATAACTAGTCCCATATTTCTGTATATTGTAAGGCTTAGATGGACTTGCATTTTCATATACAGCAGTATATCGAACCAAAGCTGCTCAGATTGTTGCATAGTTTGACCGTAGAAGGCATTTTCCAGGATGGCATATCTGTTTTGCACATTTGTAACAAAGCAGTAGACCAGGGGTCTCAAACTCAATTAACTTGGGGGCCACTCGACAAATTTTTTTCTCCCATGGGGGCCGCTTGCCAAATTTCATACTTTAAAATAAAATTTAACTATATCCGGTTTGGTACTATGGACACTAATACATACACAATAAGGCCCCATTAATATCTGTAGGTTTAGGTGCGATTAGGTATTCCTGCATCAGGAACTTGCGTTTTCCTGCAGCAGGAATCACTAATCTGGTGTTTAAAAGTGGCAGCTGTCACCTGCTCAAGTTAATGATCAGGTGACAGCAGCTCCATGGAAATTATAATACAGTCCCAGTCCCCCCCACCCCTGACACATATAAAATAACAGCCCCCAGTTTCCCCCGCACACCCACATGTGAAATGTAATACAGAGCCCCCCTCTCCTGCTTACCTTTTTGCAGGGAGGAGGCTGTGGGAGGAGGCACGATCCTCGGTGATTGATTAGTGTGTTCTGCAGCAGGTCTTACCAATCAATGACCGAGTGCCGACACAGAAGCAGCTCTGCGGTCTGCATTCGACATAGATGCAGACCGTGGAGCTTCTCCCACATGTGAGCTGGCTGCGGGCCACAGAGTACCGGCATGCGGGCCGGTACTTTGAGACCACTGGAGTAGACAAATAGGATTTTTTTTTCCAATGGTAATAAATTACACCTATTGGAAAACTTGTATTTAGCTAAGTATTCATGGATTATGGTGGATGCATGATACGTATCAACAAGGCAGTTTAGATGCAATTGCTCTATTGAGACACTTAATTAGCCACAAGACACTGCTAAAATTTGTCCACAAGCATTGGTCTGTGCTCTGTAGCCAGTATTAGCTATGAAGAGCTATTGTTTTAGTGTAACTTGCATTCCGCATTTGTGTTCCATACAATTGTGCCATACAAGAAGGTGGCTCCAACATTTAATGGAATGCAAATCATTTTAACAGCTAACCTAGAATGGTTTTTGTAGCTTTTAACTCATGATCATCTTCCCCTTTAGGGAGCATACCTCCCAGGTATTTGCTGCTGTCCTCATATTTTCCTGCAACGGTTGCTTTCCTACCTTATCTTTGTGCGTTGACCCCCCTATAGCCAGTAGGTTGTGTGGCTTGGGAAAGGGGGGGGGGGGGGGGGGGGGGGTTGGGTGTGTAGGAGAAAAGCTCTCAGGAGCTACAATTCAGATTTTCTGATTTCTGAGGTAGTGGAAGCTGTAAATTCACCTGCGGGTCATAGGTTTTCAACACCTATAGTAAACAATGATTTCTGCAAGCTGTAACATTTTGTTTACTAACATGACCTGTAACTGTGAAAATTCATGCAAATTCTTGGTTAGGGCTAATGCCAATTTTCTCTCCACAGTTTATAAAGCTGTACTGTTACCTCGCCCAATGCAGGGCTGAGTTGTGGTTAAATTAAGGGCTATAACCACAACATTTTACCATCCACAAACGCATGAATCTGAAGAAGTTCTAAAAGATCTTGTGTCTCCAAGGATAACATTTTGATCCCCTAACTATAAACTGTCTGCAATTTTTTTCAGAGTTGCAAAAGTCCTGCTAAAGCAACAGTTGTCCGAGTTCATGATTTATCTGAAGAGGAATCTTCTAGTGAAGAAGACATTGCTTTAGATGAAGAGCATTTGTCACAGCAGTCTCAGAGTTTAGGTCAAGACTCTTCACAAACCCCCAAAGTGTTTTTGAAACGTTTAAGTCAAGACATAGTAGAAAGTCCTAGTATTATTTTGTCTCCAAACTGCAAGGACCCTTTATCATGCACAGAAAGCTGCAAAGCATCTTCTTTATCTCAAAGTAACAGTAATGACTTTGCCAGTGTGTTGCCTTGTAAAGCTTCTTTAAGTCCTGTTTTTCCAGTAAAGTCTCCAAATGCACGTAAAATGATTCCCTGCAGATTACTTCAGGACAAAAGCCCAAGTTCTGTAAATATATCAGATGAAATAGAGGGCCACTCTTTATACTGTTCAGAAAGTACGCAGCAAGATTCCTCTTCATTGAGATCTATCTCAAATAAGTCTGAAGTCACAGAAAGTGCAAGTTCGTCACACAATGTCAGCATTTGTTTGAAGGAATCAAGCATGGAGAATGTCTCATTGAATAATAGGGATGCTCTTTCTGCGCATACCTGTCAAACGCCTGCTAATATGTTTGCCAAAAAACAGCAAAATGACAGTAGTGTCCATTACTACTGGGGTATACCTTTCTGTCCAAACGGTCAGGATCCTAATGCATATACCCAAGTCATCCTTTGTCAGCTAGAGGTGTATGAGAAAAGTTTGAAAAAATCTCAGAGACATCTCTTAGAGAAAACTGAATATGGTGAACCAGTTAATCTAGCTGCTTCCTCAGAAAGAAACGAACATGCAAAAGACAGCCAAGGCAGCCTAAGCCAGGAAGATACAGAGGAGATTATAGAGGGTGGTGACCAGCAGAAGCCAAAACAGAGTGTGTTGGAGACTGCAGAAGAGACTGATAGTTCAGACATACAGCTTGTTCCCAGCAAGAGGTCAAAGGCTTCTTGTAGCCATTTCCAAGAGGATGACCATTCCTGTCGATCTGAAGGCCAAGTGAAAAGTCAATCACAAGTGAGTGATGCAATTACTATTTATAAGAACATATATGCACAGACAGTATTCATATTATTTTGTCTTATTTGCTCTTTCTACGGTGTTAATAAATGTCAAGTGCCATAGATTGATACAATGAATACATGTTTCTATCATTATAAAATCTAGTCCTTATTTTTTTTTTTCTTTAAAAGAAACCACCATTGAATGCTTCCATGATTTTTGCTTCTGGTGAATGCTTGCATGTTTTTTGCTTCTGGTTACTCTTCATATATCACAGATCTCTCAGAAATGCAAACATATTCATTTTCTTCATTCTTTTATTTTTATGGAAATTAAAACTTTGCCTTTGGCCAGCCTGAGTGTTCTCAGTTGTAGTGTAAGGGCTCAAACTCTGCTAGGGAAATCCACTGAAGACCTTTTATTTGAGGCACAATAATGTATAGTTAAAAGGTATACTATCTCTTTATTAGATACTTGTCTTTGATGTTCACTCTCTCCACATCTGTTCTTCAGTTACAAACACCAGCACTCTATCGATCCTGGCACTCTGGGAACAGTTTAAAAAAACTGACAGAAAAGGAAAAAGAGTTTTTAAATACTAAAAAAGGGTCTAAAAAGGAAGGGAGACAACAAGTATTCAAAAAATCAAGCACTCAATATATCCCAAACAGTCCAACGCCAATTTTTTAACGCCACTTAGCTACCAGGCACTTTGTTCCCCAAGCCCTGTGTGAGCTTTATGCATTATTTTTCTGCATAGATTTTGCTATGTGCCGACAACTCTGCATTTAATATCTTCGATCTCCGCATCCACACTCCAATTAAAAGCCCTGCTGTCATTAATCCTTGGTGAACCTATCCTTTGGGTTCACACAAGGGTCCTCTTTCTCTAATTGCAATCATGGCCACAAACTTGACCTCATGTTCACTTACCTCTGCTCTGTGTTAAGGTTATCAAGATTTCTGTTATTAAATCTTGATTTAATAACAGAAATACAGCACAAGTCAGCAATTTAAATCCTCATTCTCTTTCTGACTCTTTGCAACCACTTTTTCCACCTTTGCCCTAAGACCGCAACCACTTATTACTTCGCACAGTCATTTCAGGTTTTCCCCTTTACCTGTGCATACCCTTGTTATGCCAGCAGGCGGCTCCGGCTTACCAAACATACTAAAATGTTTGTAAAATGCTTTCCCAGCTAGGTGAATGACATTGAAGAAAAACGCTATTAGGGAGTATTCCTTGAAATATATAAACATGCTTTTCCAGTGCTCAAGAAGGCCCTTTTACCTGCCAAGCGATCATAATTTCCATTCTCCTATTCACATAGTCCCATAATCCAAAACTATTTTGAATAACCTTAGGTCCCTACTCTATCATCCACATCCAGTCCATATTTTCTGTATATAATCCAAACACTTTGGCACACATTTTAAAACAAATCACAGTACTAGAAAAACCTGATTTTTGCCATGACCCCCACCTGACCTAATATTGGCAAAAAAAAGCTTTGTTTTGCTTTCATCAGACTATAGAATCTTCTTGCAGCTGAATTAAGAGTCCTCCACATATCTGCCAAGAGGCAGGTCAGAGTCAGCTAACCCAATCAGCAAAATCCCTCGATAGCTGTGATGAGCCAGGATCTGCAAAAAAGGCCTAGCATACATCTGTGATGAGAAGTTCCGGGAAGGTAGGAGAGGCAGACAGACCAGGTCAGAGGCAGCTGCAGTTTAGGAACACAGGTCTCTGAATAGCCCTCTTGGTTCCAACAGTGGGGGTAAGCATACTTACAATACTGCATGTGCCGAGGTGCAGGGTCAGCATATACACATGGCACAACAAGATCCTCAGAGTCTAGCTGTGTTTGCCAAATTGGGCAGCCGTGCCCTTAGCTCCCGGACACTTTACTGTCAAAATACCTAGATAGATCAAATAACATGAATGTGGTAATTTCCTTCCTAAGCTATAACCCATAGCTTATTGCATAATACACTAATATAGTATATTGAACATGTAGTTCTAGGGAGCAGATTTGTAGAATAGCTCTCTGGTCCCATAGCAAATTTACCTTCATGATAAACAGGCTTGTTGTATGTAAACCATATAAACCATATATACCATATAGGAGACACTGTGTTATACAAGCAGTTTTTCCCCTTATATAATTGTACTTCCACAAGGAGGACATTTTTGGATGCATGTAAAGGTGGAGGATTTTTATTACACTTCATCTTCCATAATAGATGGCTGTAGTGTCTCTTTTTGTTGTGAAGAATACAAAAAGCGTTATTTATAAGAATAATTCCAGATTTCGGAGTTCATGGAAATCTCGCCTGAACAATCTGTTAAATATTTAACTTCATGTCAAGGCTTAATATCTTACTCTTGTTTTGTTCGTGGATGTAGAAAACAGCACCTGTAAGGAAAAAATGTTGATATGTGACATTTAAACTACTACATTGCAAAGCCTAAATGAGAATGTATCATTAAACACAAAGCTTTTTAGACAATGAAGCGCTCTTAGATCAGTGTGACTATTAGGACGTGCCTTGTTTATCAAAAGGTTTGAAAGAGGACCTGTCTCAGACAGCCTGCACTGCACTACAGAATACAATTTAACTCAAACTGTCTCTAACTGTACTTTTCCAGTGCTTGTGTGTATTTGGTTGGCCAATACAAACTATGTGAAAAAGCTCCTGCCTCATACAACTACATAAATATGCCTACTGTTTTTTTTAATGGAATGTGAGCTTTGTTTACCAATTGCTCCCACCACTGCTCCTAAATGTATTATATATACTTCACGCATGTTCATATGAGCTGTTGCTATTTTGCCCACTGATCCTTTGAGTGTTCAGGGGGTAGCCACCACACTCTATTTGTAAGGTAAATGCTCGGGTGCTCATCCACAGAAATATCCATACAAATCCAAAGTAGGTATAGAAGCACTCATTGGTCTTGCAGCCAAGATAAGCAAAGCATCAGCATTTTATTGTCAATGATTCTGAAGGTGTCCATCTTGATGTTGAAATTAAAAGGCTGATGCTTTGAGCTCCCTGACCTGTGAGTGCCTTTATATACACCTCAAGACCTGTGAGTGCCTTTATATACACCTCAAGACCTGTGAGTGCCTTTATATACACCTCAAGACCTGTGAGTGCCTTTATATACACCTCAAGACCTGTGAGTGCCTTTATATACACCTCAAGACCTGTGAGTGCCTTTATATACACCTCAAGACCTGTGAGTGCCTTTATATACACCTCAAGACCTGTGAGTGCCTTTATATACACCTCAAGACCTGTGAGTGCCTTTATATACACCTCAAGACCTGTGAGTGCCTTTATATACACCTCAAGACCTGTGAGTGCCTTTATATACACCTCAAGACCTGTGAGTGCCTTTATATACACCTCAAGACCTGTGAGTGCCTTTATATACACCTCAAGACCTGTGAGTGCCTTTATATACACCTCAAGACCTGTGAGTGCCTTTATATACACCTCAAGACCTGTGAGTGCCTTTATATACACCTCAAGACCTGTGAGTGCCTTTATATACACCTTATATGTTACTATGCAAACGTTTTAAGTAGGTGTGGGAAAAATGCTGTAAAGTAAGAATGTTTTCAGAAATAAGTGTTAATAGTTTATTTTGATCAATTAACAAAATAGAAAGTAAATGAACAGAATAGGTATCCAAATCAATACAATATTTGGTGTCACCACCCTTTGCCTTCAAAACAGCATCAATTCTTCTAGGTACACTTGCACACAGTTTTTGAAGGAACTCGGCCAGTAGGTTGTTCCAATATCTTGGAGAACTAACTACAGATCTGTGGATGTAGGCTGCCTCAATTCTTTCTGTCCCTTCAATGTAATCCCAGACAGACTCCATGATGTTGAGAACAGGGTGGGGGCCAAACCATCACTTCCAGGACTCCTTGTTCTTCTTTACGCTGAATATAGTTCTTAATGGCATTGGCTGTATGTTTGGGGTCGTTGTCCTGCTGCAGAATAAATTTGGGGCCAATCACACACCTCCATGATGGTATGACATGATGGATAAGTAGCTGCTTGTATTTCTCCGCATTGAGGACACAATTGATCCTGACCAAAATAATTTGCAGAAATGCAGCCCCAGACTTGCAAGGAACCTCCATCATGCTTCACTGTTGCTGCTGACAGTCATTATTGTACCGCTCTCCAGCCCTTCCGCAAACAAACTTACTTCAACAATACAAACATAATAACTAAGATATATAAAAAGATGAATGTGCTTATCCTTAATCAGCATTATCGAGAGAGAGAGAAAGACGGACTACATATACACACAGATAGTTCTTAATGACATTGGCTGTATGGGGTCGTTGTCCTGCTGCAGAATACATTTGGGGATAATCACACGCCTTCCCGATGGTATAACATGATGGATAAGTATCTGCTTGTATTTCTCAGCACTTAGGACACCATTGATCCTGACCAAATCTCCAACTCCATTGGCAGAAATGCAGCCCGAGACTTGCAAGGAACCTACACCATGCTTCACTGTTGCCTACACTTCTCTCCAGCCCTTCGGTGAACAAACTGCCTCCTGCTACAGCCAAATATTTCACATTTTGACTCCTCAGTCAAGAGCACCTGCTGCCATTTTTCTGCACCCCGGTTCTTATGTTTTCGTGCATAGTTTAATCACTTAGCCTTGTTCCCACATCGGTGTGGCTTTTTGGCCACAAGGCCACAGAAAAATGGCAGCAGGTGCTCTGGACTGATGAGTCAAAATGGGAAATATTGGGTCTATATATAATATTGGGTAATGGGAAAATGGGTCTATATGTAGTCCGTCTTTCTCTCTCTCTCTCTCGATAATACTGATTAAGGATAAGCACATTCATCTTTTTATATATCTTAGTTATTATGTTTGTATTGTAATGTATTTACACTGTGTACTTTGTAAACCACTCTCCCCTCTTATTACAGACCTGGCCAGTCACTGTAGTAAGCCATCCACATCT